CCATGTCGCATTTAGATGGTCATTCCCCTGGCGCTGCTAGCAATATCGTCAGTCACGGCTTTCAAAGCTATTTCAATTGGTAAGCAATCTTGCCTTATTGCTCTGTTCTCGTCTTGTTGGATCATGTCTGATGCAAAAAAGTGACTGATAAATTTGCAACACTAGAGCTGATTGTCAGAGAACAATAAGAAAATCTAAGTTTTAGTCTTATGCCGAATAAAGTCAACGACGGTAAGGTTAATGGCATAATTCAAAACGGTTGAAAATTTGAATGTACGGCCTCTTCATTACAGAGGAATTCAAGGCACGCCCTATTCCTGAATTTGCCAAAAACCTCGAGGGACAGGAACTGATTGACTACGTCAACGCGAATCAGCCATTCTTCAAGGTATTAGGTATCTGCAGCCATACCTGGTTTGTAGCCAAAGCTGTACCTATTATAGGCAGGAGAGCCTAAGATGTCTTACGAGCAATTTAAATCGCGCTTGATGAAAACGAAGCTCGTGGACTTTGATGAGGAAGCACAGAAAGTTGATGAGAAAGCTCCAGAAATCTTTTCCAAAGAAGTGATTCCAGAGAGGTAAAATTAGATCTTAGCACTTATCTCTAATAAAGTAAGTCAGTAATAGTAACTCGTAGGCAAAACATGTAGGCAAAGGGGTCATGTGAATGAATTACATTTAGCTTTGATGCGCGAGAGAAGTGGCCGGAGTGCAAATCCATCCACACCGTCCGTGACCAAGCAAATTGCGGTAACGAACTGCTCACACTTGAGCATCAATTTTCGCTTGATGTGCAAAACGTTCTTTTTATAGGATCATGTTGGGCTGTCTCTTCGGCATCAGCTATGTCTGATAGGTTGTGTATCGCCACGAAAGGACGGAAACAGGTTTGAATCACTCATTTTGAATGAGTCTACGAATCATAAGTTAGTGTATTTGTTTTATTATAGACTTTCATTTCCGACACTGATATTCTCACCTGTTGCTCATATTGTGGAGATGGGTA